GTTTATTTGTCGATCCGGGCGATATTCCTATTCAAATGGATGCGTGTCGGTGCTCTCTCGCCGCCATCCATTAGGTGGTGGCTGCCCGGCCGCCCGGCCGCACTGTATTATGCATGCCCGACTGGCCACCGGCGACTAGTCGCACACACGTTCGCTATGAAGATATTTCGGCGTGTGCTCAGAGTATGAAGATATTTCCGGGCTGATGGAGTCTCTGGTGATGGCCCATCCGTTCTGGGGTGAGAGGAAGTCATCAGTACGTCGCCCAATCACTCACCGGGTCAACCGACGGCTCACTCGCCGGTCCTTCTCACCGTCCGCTCCGGTCCGTCCGTCCCACAGTCCGTCCAGGATTTGGTCCGTTTGGTCCGCTCCGAATCGGACCAAGCCCTGGATAAAAGCGCGCCGGCCATAAAAATAGATGGATCGTTTTAACAGAGCGAGCCTCGAACAAAACAACAGCCGAGGCGCTGCTTACACGTCCAACAAAGCGCCGGAGGCTCTCGGGCCATGATTTACTTTGGTTCAAAAGGACACAACGGAATTAACTGTTTGCGCCGGGCGCATTCACGTCCGGTTTTATGAAATTACGACTGGAATATGGCACGGGCTTGCATTGAGCGCACTCTATGAAAGGCACACAGTCTTAGCCATTAGGGCGCAATATCAGAGCGGCTATTGTAACCAATTGGGCCAGGCTGATCGCCCCGAATGCAACGAGCGAGCGGCTGAAGACTGTACTGCGGTCTACATTCAACATTCCCCTCCAAATAAGCCGATCGCCACACCTTGGGCTTCATTTGGCGTTTTGAGTCGCCGGCGGCGGCGGCGGCGGCAGGGCGCCCACCGGCCGGGCGGGGGCGGAGGCGGGGGCGGCGATGGCGGCCGTCGCGGCTGACTGCGCCGACAGCTGCGAGCGCCGGTCAGCGCCGCCGACAAATGACGTGTTTTCCGGCGCGTCGCGCGGCCATGCCTCCGCGATTAGAATCGTGCGGGCGGCGCAGCTCATTAACGCGTGACCGCCACCGCCGCTTCCGACCGCAGTGCGGCGCGTTCTCACGTCAGCCGCGCCGCGTTTGACGCCGCCGCGCCACCGCCGCCGCCGCCGCGCCGCACTCACCGCCGCCGCGCTGTCCGGCAGCCATTACACAAACAAACAACACATAACACACTAATCAATACGGCGGGCACAGGGAGCCGCGGCCGACCAGCTTCATCAATCCACCGCGCGAGCTCCCCCGGCCGCGGAAGCCCCGGCCGCCGGTCCCTGGCCGCACCCGCCCTCCCTCGCGGCCGCCGCCATCACCGCCGCCCGTTCCCCTGCGGACCTGGGAGCACGCAGTGCGCACCTTTGATGCCCCACGCTGCCACCAGTCAGCTCCATCGGCTTATGGCCGGGGCTCCATCGCGACGCGCCTCCGCTCGCCGCAATCACGCCGCTTCCGTCTCTGTACCGAGGTGCGCCCTGACTGCCTGCCCTCCCCTCTATGTAGACATACCGCTCCGCCGTTCCAACCACGTCATCGCGTTAGCCCGCCCGCGGTTGGACGCTTCCTGGCGCCCCTGGGTGCTTCTGACACCAGCAGAAACGCTTCCCGTAGTTAGGCCGTCATTAAATTCAATTAGGCTAAGTATCGGAGGCGATGTCCAGTGAGCCGCGTGGCGACCGCGGCCGCGCGAAACGAACCCTCCCGCCGCCACTGACGCCATCGGCGGCGCCGGGCGCGGGGACAATGGATGACGTCGCGGTGACTGCGCCGGCTGATGGCCGCTGATGGCCGCTGGTCAGCCGCTGTGACCCGGCCGGCGGCCGCTGGGCACATCAGCGCCGGCTGCGGCTGATGGTCTGACCGGAGCATCCCCTGACCACCGGGACGTTCTGTTAGAACGATAGGGAAACTCAGGAAAACTGCAGAGATATCGTACCTCTGCTCGCATTACATGCGGTGGAGCGCTCAGTCAGCTTCACAGAAATAGGAGGCAGTTCCGCAGTCCGTCGGAAGTCGCGCGTACTCAGTTCGTCGAAAGTGCCCGTGAACGGGCCCTATTTAGCGCCTCGACCGGAAGCCGGTCGTCGGGCCGGGCGGCCCGGGTCGGCGCGCCCGCCTCGTTTGCAGGCCGCAGTTTTACACGGCGCGGCCAGTATCGCCCGCCGGCCGATTGGAGTGTGACATGCGAGTGGTGAGCGCGGCGAGCTGACCGTCCGTCTGCCCTGAGGCCGCCGGAGGACGGGCCCAGCAGCGAGCCGCCGCCGCCGCCGCCGCCGCTGCCGCCCGCCGAGCGACGCCATGCTGGCGTTTTTGTTCGCGCTCAACGGCGATTTTTCGGTGATATTGAAAGAACGCCCGTCCAATCGTGCCCGCCTCCCCAAACATAAACACAAAGGCGCCCGGACTGGGCTGTCAGGCCGAATCGCTCCTCGCCACTCGCCGCTTTTGTCGAGGAATAAAACAAGACCGCCTAATTCTATTAATTTGAGTGCGCCGCATAAAAAGGGCCTGGGCGGCGCAGGTGGCGGCGCGGCGCCGCAGATGCCGCCAAAATGGACTCCAATGGCGGCGGCGGCGGTGGCGGTGCGTGTGCAAATCCCCAGGAGGGGCGCGTCACGCGTCACGCGATCTTGGTGCAGGCTCTGGAGACCGTGACGGCGCGGAGGCCGTGGCCGCGCGGTGTCTCCGGGCGGACCGGCGCGGCTGCTGCGGCGGTCTCCGTCCCATCTGTCTCTGAGGAGGAGCGGGATTTCACGGACAGCCGCGGGAGGTCCTGCGGCAGCTGCCCCGTCGGCCACCTCTCCGCGCGCGGCGCCGCGCTCACAGAGACCATTGTTTCTGGGGCCGCGGCGCTGGCACTGGCCCCTGTGCCGACCCAGCCGTGTGCCGGCCCCGATTGGTGGCCGGCGCCGGCGTGTCCCTCATTATCTCCATTCTGGGTGGATTAATCTGGGAAGAGTTGCGCACAATGGGGTCCGCCTGAGCCCTTTGTGCGCCGGCCACCGACAAAGTGGGCCGCGGAGGTGTGCGCATTAGCGCCGCCAGTGATACCCGAAATACGGCGGCCGGCGGCGGCCAGCCGTGTGATGCGCGCACACAGGGATGACACCGGGCCGGCCGGATCGCAGCCGGCCCGGCTGATTCTGTTTGTCACCGATCTCAGGCGCCGCCGCCGCCCCGCGGTGGGAGGACGAGGGCGGGAGCCGCCGGGAGCAGCCGGGAGCCGCCTGATCCCGCGCGGAGGATGGGAGCGCGGCGCGCGCCCCACCGCCGGCAAAGGGGTGCAAATAGGTCCGTCCGAGTGGACAAACAGGCGCCGAGTGCTCTCCAGTGCCGGTAGCTCCATCACGTGTGCAGGCCATTGTTCGCACTGTTTTATGGCTGGCTCGAGCAGATCAACCGCCGCCCCGGCCCAAGGACCCTGTTCCAGTGAAAGCGAAATGTCACTTCAATTTTTGCACTTGGTTTGCGTGGGGCCGAAGAGGTCTATCATTGTTTGACGCTGATTTCGTATGGGTGAACGGACCGATATCGCCGCGAACATACGGCGCTGAGTGGGAGTGAAACAACGACTAATCCCCCCGTCCACCTCGAGCATTGATAGCGTTTGTGCCGAGACAATGCCCACTTTAAGTAGGTACACGCTCAGGTACTTCAAAGTATAGGCTATCAATATTTCTTTAAAAATATCTATGCAATAATAACCGGGAGTAATTAAATTACAACAGTGGTGCACAATTATTCAAATGCACAAAAGCATTAAGTACTTGCTATTAGGTATTTCATTCGTTAACTCATATGCCAAATGGGCTCAAAATGGTGTTTGCTGTTCACATTTACCGCGACATTTACCCACTATTGAACGTTTGGCGATGCCCCTGCCTCCCAGGTCACCACTTGCGACCTCTCCCGGGGACACCCATTATCGACAGCCAGCATGGCGCACAGGATGCGTGAAACGTTTACTCTAATGGACCGTCGAGTGGGCACTTTTTGCCGGCGTTTTTCCGCGCCGCGTAACTGCCGCACGGCGGCGTTTTCGGCGCATTCCGGCCTGGCGCGCGGCAATGGCGGCGCGGCGATTTACTGCGCCACTGCGGCGCGCGGCGCACCCCGATTTACGGTGGCGTTTGTGGTGCAGCGTCACAGAAGCTGGCGCAGCCTGACGCGCTACGATGGTCGTAGCTCCGCCGCCGCCGCCGCCGAAAAACGCCCCCGCAATGCGTTGACCGCGGTGAAGCGACACGCAGGTCCAGAGCAGTGGGTGTATCGGGGAGAGATATGACGCGTGGGGAGCCGCCACGCTGCACGAGAGACTGGAGGCACGCCATGAGTCATGCAGCGTCGACAGGTCTTGTGCATCGGCCCGGGTCCATCTTGTGGTCATGGTGCGGTGTGTCTCCTCTTTGTTCTTAGCAGATCTTTGACCACGTTGATGCTTGTCAAACTTTCATAAGACTTTCAAGAAACTTTCATTCTTCGCAAGTGCCCTCAGCCCTGAACTATATCTGAGGTGCCCTGATCATGTCACATTTACGTTTTGCCCCCTCACCCTGCATCTTTATTAGTTCATTGTCCTTCCCCTCGCCCTCCATGTCCTTGCCCATCCATCGAGCTCTGCGGTGCTCTCCGCCCTCTCCCATCCAATCTCCGGCGCGTCCCGGCTCTTCCATCGGTCCCAGCTGTCCCTCCCGGTGGCGTGCCGGCCGCGCGTCCATCGGCCGCGCCTCGGGACGCGCACGGTAGCATGGTCGTCCGCGCGGCACGCCATCTAAACGGCATCCGAACGCCGCCGACCGAGTGACGGCGCCGCTATCCGGCCATCGAGTCCTCGCTCTCCCCTGCCACCTCCAGCGTCACCGATGCCGTCACCGCGCCGCCGCCGCGGCTGCTACCATCAGCCGCTGTCGCCGCTCCGAGCGGGCAGCTTTACGAGCGCCGATTAGATGATACGAGCGGGCAGCGGCCGAGCGGACCGGCACTGACCAGCGCCCCTGCGCTCCGTTCCAGGCAAATGTTCCCGCAGATGAAGTTCCGCATGTCGGGCCTGGACCCCAAGTCCAAGTACATCCTGCTGCTGGACATTGTGGCCGCCGACGACTGCCGCTACAAGTTCCACAACAGGTGAGTTGGCCGCTGGGCGGTCGGCTGGCGCAGCGTGCCGGCTGCTGCAGCTCCGTGGGCTGCTGCAGCTCGCGCCGAGGTGACGCCGCGGCCGCTATCGAGCCGCGGCGATCTGCCGGGGGTGGCCGCTAAAAGTGCCGGCCGATCCTCCCAGACAGTGTCCTAATCCGGCGGGCGCATCTGACGCCGACCCTTACTCAGGTTTATTACTTTTATCATAACGTGATAAGTCCTATTAGCTATTTTACAGCTAATTAAGCGAACTAGTCTGCTAAAGGGTTAGCTCCATCAACGTAAATTGACGATTGCTGGCACCACAGATGCTATCTCGCCAACGAGTCTGTTTTCTTTTAGGAAATCATGTTGGAGATGTTAATGGGCATTCTTGAAACCTCCTCAGGCACGGAAACACGTTGCAATAAATTGCATGACCTCTAGCAAAACGTGCTGCTATCAACTGCCATCAATATCTTATGTAGGTATGCCCACGTATTACGTGTCAGCAAATATCTCCATAATGAAGTGGAACTTTCACTGTGGCGTGAAACGTGATATCTTTTTCTCAATGTTACACGGCTACCTGCCGATGCCAGTCATTAAGCTCCACCAATCTGGCACATGCATATTCAGCGGCTCGCGGCTGGCGCGGCCATCCGTTCTCGCGGCGTCCGTTCGCCTGTGACCGGTGATAAATCCGCCGCCGTCCACAGCCGCTGGATGGTGGCCGGCAAGGCGGACCCGGAGATGCCGAAGCGGATGTACATCCACCCGGACAGTCCGGCCACCGGCGAGCAGTGGATGCAGAAGGTGGTCTCCTTCCACAAACTCAAGCTGACCAACAACATCAGCGACAAGCACGGATTCGTAAGTAGACCGCGCTCGGAGACGAAGCGCTGCACTTCTGGCTTTTCTCCCCTGAATGTCGTATACCATGTTATGTACGATAACGTCCTGCTTACCAGGCGACGTGACCGCTTGCAGGCGCCGCGGCTGACTGCGGCGATACCGGGATGCACCGATGCACCGCAGTCCGTGCCGGGGCGGCCCGCTTTCCCATATGCCCCGATGCCTGGACGTTCAGATACGGAGCCTGAGGAGACGGCCGGCCAGGCGGCCCGCACCCCAACCCCCAAACATTCCGCCCCCGCGCCGCATGGAATGTCGCTGCGGCCGACTGCCGTGACCTCGGGGTGGCACCCTCGCCAGTAGCGCGTCTGGCGCCCGCGCCGCCCGCCCGCCCGGACCGTCTCTGCCGCGCCGTTATCGCCCCCGGTAGCGCCGTGACGCGCCGTGATACGCCGCAGAAGGCCGCGGCGCGGCGCAATCGCCCACATTGCAGCCGCCGTCGATTTGGGCCAGAAATTCAGACGTCCCCCGCTATCAGGCCGGCTCAAGTTGCAGGCGTCATACCGTGCACGGTCACTGGATATGTGCTGATGAGGGCCCCGGGGAGTGGGAGCCGACCGGGGGCGGGGGCGGCGGCGGGGGCGGCGGTGTCTGGCGGCTTTGCGCGGCCGTCTGGTCAATTAGTGCAGCTCGGGCGGTCCGACGCTCAGTGCAGAAACATCGCCGTCCGGCAGCGCGGGTGCAGCCGCCGAGCCGAGTAAACACCTCCTTTGAGCGCGGCCGCCGCCGCCGCCCGCTTGCCCGGCTGATGCGTTTTACATGTTGTCAGCCGTGTCGCGTCGTGGGGCGCGCGGCGGCTTAGCGTGCGCGAGGGCTTTCTCTTTCGCAGGCACGCAGCCGGCGATAGGTGACGGTCGTGATGCGGCGGCGGGCCGAGAGGTGACCGAGTCCGGGCCTCCGAGCGTGACGCTGCCCGGCCGTCACTGACACCGTCCGGGCCCGTAAAACGCGCCGGCGCTGTCAGCGGCGCCGGGAGCGGGCCGATCGGTGCCGCGCCGCGCCGCCGGATCGGGCTCATCTTATCGAGCCATCTCGGCGCCGGGCTATCTCCCCGATCGGCCCCCGTCCGAGCGCCGAGCCGCCTTTGGAGTGAATTAGTTTGTAAAGTCCGCGCCGGGACAATTTGACACCGGTCGCCGGCAGCCGACAAAGCAGTGCCCCCGGCGGCGGCGGTCGAGTGGACCTGCTCCTCTCCGCGCCGCCGCCGCCGCGGTCGGCGTGGCGGCGCACGCGAGAGGTCGTTTATTACACGGCCGACGGCCGGCGCTAAGTCAAACAGATAAATCTGCAGCGCCGCCGCGCGTTGGCGGCCGGCTGCGATGGCGGCCTCCGCCCGATGCCACGGTCTCTCCGTGTCGATATTTCATAAACCCACTGCCGGTGCCCCCGCGCCGGGCACCCCGCCACCGCAGGGCCGACCGTGTGGGCCGTCCCGCGCCCGGCCCTGACGGGGCGGCCAGTCACCCACCCGAGATAATCTCTGTGGCGACGTTCGTCTTGCGGGCCGGGGGACGGGAGCGACAGGGACGCAGACGTGACGCGCTCTAATGCCACCTGGAGAAACTGATACGGTTCGCCGTGATGAGAGGCGCCGCCGCCGAACGTGTCTGCGATGGCGGCCGGATACGGCCGGTTTGGGATGCCGCGACGGTCCGAGAGCGCGCCGGCGAGGTTTTTATGGGCCCGAAATCGGAGGAGGCATCTGAACAAAATTGTGGCGAGGAAAAAGTATGTAACAGGCCGTATCGATGGAAGATATTCGTTATTAGTAACTGTAATTGTCAGACAACTACTAATTTACTGATGGTTGTCTCACAAGCTGGCCGTTTTATCGGAAGGAATGCCGGTTGACGCGGGCAGTTGGCAACTGTGGCGTCCGGCCGGGGCGACCTTCGGTCACATACATCTCTCTGTGTGCAGAGACGCCGGGACTCGGGCGGCATCCGTCGCTCTGCACACGTCGCTGCTCCTCACTGCACGGCCGGCGGTGCCGTCCGGCGCGCGGCCCGCCGCCCCACTCCGTTCCCGCGTGCAAGACATCGCTCAGCGTTAGCCACGGCTGCCCCCGCCGCCCGGCGCCGGGGCGGGACGCGACAGCGCCAGATTTGCCACGGTCCGGCCCGCTCGTCAGAGTTTCACGCCGAATTAGGGCGGCCCAGTTGGTTTTTGACCTCGTATATCTGCCGGGCTGGCGGCCGGTGGCCGTCGCAGGCTTACCTGCTCGTAAAAAGGCGCCGCTGAGCGGCCGTCGGGCGCCTCCAGCCGGCGCGCTGGGGACTTCATTAGGTTGGGCGCGGTGTCGCCGGCCGCGGCGCGCCTCTGTTTGCGCCGCCGGAGAGCGGAGGCGCACATCTGAGGCGCCGCCGCCGGCCCACAATAGCCCGCTCTCGGGAGCACAATGGCGGACCGGGCGGACGGCCCAGAGGCGCGCGCGGACGCCCCTGTGGGCGGCCCAGACGCGCACAATGCGCCGATGAGTGGGCGGATTGTCACCGCTCGAGTGTCGCACCCTTTGTCGGGCCACCTACCGCACCGGCCGGCCGCCTCCTCGGCAGCCAGCGGGCGGAGTTTCTGCGAGCTGTGCGGGTAGTGAAGAGAGCTGGTTAGCGCTGCGGCGGCGGCTGCCGAGTCCCGAGCGCCATTAGCCACCCACACGAGAGGTCACGTTCGGCTGCGTCTGAATGCGGCCAGTCGACGCTCCCCCGAGTGGCTAATTAGTGAATTACTTATGCCGCCGGCTCGAGCTGCTGACGGCCAGCTGACACGTGTAATTGGCCACTCCTCGGCCCTCTCGCAGAGTCGAGAGTGAAAAACGGCCCGCTCTAGAAGCTGCCGCGACTAGGCGGCGCGTATGAATTAGCTTCGCTCTCAAAGACGCAGAGGTAAGCGGAAGTTTTACACTCGGCGCAACGATGTTGAAATGAATGTTCATGCAGGCGTTCCAACTCGCCTTTATAACGGCACCTCAAGTGTTTGCCTCACTGGTAGGCCTTCTAAAGTAGGTAACAGCCACTTACCTGAGTTCGCTCGTGTAATATTTCGGCGGTGCGCCGCGCCAGATGGGCGCTGCTGCGCGGCTCCGGTCGGTGAGTCGTGACCGCTGGCCGGGTATTGGAGTCAGCAGCCGCTCTGATGCGCTGCGCTGATGACTATCGGCGCGGCGAGACGGTCCCCGTCCGGCCCCGTCCTGCCGGTGACGTGCGGGCGAGCATGGCGCCGCGGCTCTCCGACCCGCCGGTGTCATGGGCCGAGTGGGCGGGACGGCAGCCCACTGGAAGCTCTGAAACAAAGCCGCCGTCGCCCCGCCCGCCGCGTATCGCCGCATCGCCGCCCTTTGTGAGCGCGGTGCGGGCGCCCGCGCCCTACGTGCCGCAAACACGGCGGTCGTGGCGCGGCCGGCGCGCCGCTTTTGTCGCTGCCGGCGCGGCCAAACAAGGAGCGCCACCCATCGCGGCGCGGCGCGCCGAATTGAGACGTGGCCCGTTTTCGCCGTCTCTATTGTGACGCGATGTATGGAAGAGGATTTCGAGGAGATAGTCGAGGGTCGGTCGTTAGCAGTACCTAAGCTGGCCTTTGTTAATCATGTTTACACAATTTATGCTCCACCCGCACAGTGAGCGGCTCGTCTATTTGCGTCTGGTCTGCCATTACGGCTGATTAATTTCGCCGTTGAGCAGTTCAGCTGCGGGAGGTGCATCACGACCCAGTGTTCACGGCGCGCCGCTGGCCCCGCACGGCCATTGTGAGAAATTGAGCGGCCCAGGGGCCTCCCCGGGCCACGAGAGGCTGTCAGCGGGCCGCACCACCGCCGGCCGCCATATTGGTGCCCCACGAAAAAAGGCGACACGGCCAGCTTCCCTGCACCCATTTCCCGTCTTAATTTCACTTGAGCCGTGAAAAATCGCCCCTCCATCCATTTAACTCGGCGTGCCCGGCGCCGCCGTCTACGCCTGGAATAAAAATGAAGCCAGATAATTGCCACATATGTTATAAAAAGCTGACCGGTGTTTACACAGCGAGGTGGAGGGTCGGCGGTGCCCGACAAAAAACCCAGGTGCTGTTTTTAAATTGATTCTTTCCATATATCTGCGCGCCTAATGAAATGCTGCCGGCGGCCGCGGCGCCCCGGCGGCGTCCGTTCCTATTAGCGGAGCGGACGCAGGAATGCCGGGCAGGCGGCGCCGATCCTCGCCTCTGCTCTGCGCGCCCGGCGGAGAGCCGGCGGCCGGCCGCGCACCGCGCCGTGCATTAATACAATGACGGCGCATACCGAGACGGGCGCCGGCACGGGCGCCGGCCGGCCTGTTTACAAGCGCCGAATCAATCGGCCGGCCCGGTAATCGATGGCCAGAGGTTCCGGCGCCGGCGGACGGACTCGTTTCGCGCGCGGCGCCGCACCGACGGCGCCGCCGACAGACACGCGACCGCGAGCGCCCCGGGCGCCGCCGGCGCGGCGGCCAGAGCTCGGCGCTCAACTCAACTCAGCTCACACGGAAACACGGGACAAAAACTTTGCCATACCCACTCTTATACCTAAACGTCCGGGCGTCGCCTCTGAGCTCAGGACTAATATTGAGACACGATTACTGAGTGATTTCTGGGACGTTATTACGTTTAAATTGAAATTACCTTCCCGCGTTCCGAGTATCGTTCAACCCAAATAGGGTTCAACCGACTCTATTAGGCAGCGCCCGGTCCCAGTGGCACTGTTCCCAATGCCGATCACGAGGCTGGGAGCAGTCGGTCGGCGCGGCCTCAGGTCGCCTGTCAGTGACGGCCCGTGTCTGACCAATGGTCCCAGGCAGCGGTCCGTGTCCACCGGCCCCAGATCCGTCCACAGACCCGCGCCGACCCAATCCAGATCCGCAGGATAGCGGCGCCTCGGAGCCAGACGTGAGAGCCATACGGCGCCGGTCGGCCGCCGGCCCGTCCAGCGGCCCTGTAAAACCAACACGGCA